GCGTTTGGTGAATGAGCCAGGGCCAGCGGCTAGCCCTTCAAAGCCCGAGCCCACCCACGCTGTGCTGCTGAAGACATCCGAGCCTCTGACTGCGAAGACGCTGGTAGAGCTTCCCAACCCGTCGGGGCCTCCAGTCGGGCACCTGCGCATTCTGTTGCCCTCTTCCGGGAATTGTTTTGAGCTTGCGCCGAAATAGTTCAAATTTCAAATTTCAGGGTTCTCTTTGTGCAAGGTCAGAGCTGGTGATCAACTCGCAAGTGAGCCTGGTGGTTCCCGAGAGTGGCGATGCGATCTACTTCAAAGCCATGTCCGAGGGCTGCACACTGCTGTCCGGGCGTGAGATGTTCAGCTTCGGGAGCGGGTCCTGGTATGACGGGTCATGCGCGGTTGAGGCCATGGAATCCGATGGCCAGTGGATCCCCCTCAAGCTCAGCTGGCAGACGCCCATAATCTTGGAGCGCAAGAAACTCCTTTCCCACTTGGCTTCCCTGCCCTGCCTCGAGAAAGCGGTGCCGCTTCGCCAGGTTCTCAGCGAACTGCAAGACGCCGGAGAGGCATCAGTGGGCAAGAGCCGTGACTGCGCCAGGGATATCCGTTGCAAGTTTAGAAAACCAAGCAACTATAACGTTTGAGCCCTACGTTCGGTGTGTGATCTCAAAAGACGATCTCAAATGATGCTCATCCGTTATGCCCCTTGGCTGGCTAGCATAGAAGCACTGCCGGGTTTCAGGCTAGCTTGACGTCGACCACAAGCGTTTTGCATGTCACATGACACAGCTGGACACCTTTTGGGGTGAGTCGCATCATGAATGAAGCAAGTGATCCTGCAACTCAATTTGCGTGGAAACGTTTCAAAGTATGCTTACGGATTGTATTTGCAAGTTCCCTTAGAAACCAGTCAGTTCGATTCAACTGAACATGAAGGCCCCGCACCTCAAGGAGTCCCAGTTGCTTTGGGCATAGTTGCCACATTTACCCGTTCTGAATAGAGCTGCCAACTGTTTTTCCAATTCAAGCCCCCCCCCCCCCCCGCCACACAAACAAACGGCACACATTCTTGGCTAAGTTCAGTTAGATGAGATTGACACTATTTCGAGTAAATTTCCATAGGGTGTCATGAGGCCAATAACTCTGCACCCTTAGAGTTTTAGTTGTCCGGAAACCACCTCCCCTCCCCCTCCCCGTTGCCAATGACGTAGGGAAGCCTGTTGTAAACAAAAAGGTTTGGCCCTGCAAAACTTTGTTTGCAACAACCGGACCCCTATCTGAGAAGCCGTGCGCTTCTCATGCGTGGATCTTGCTGTGGCGACCTGCAGGTGAAGGTAGGGTTTTCGCACCACCAGCTGGACATGGCGAACGAGCAAATCGTGAACGATAAAGCCTTGTGCTTTGTCCTTGACACAAAGTCTTCTGTTGATGAAAAGGAAGAGCGGGAGGACAACGACAAACCCAAAAAGAAAAGGAGGAAGGGCAAAGACAAGGGCAAAGAGAAGGAAAAGGAGAAGGAGAAGGATAAAAAGAAAAAGGCCATTGACATTTGTTTGGGGTTGAGGGCACGGAACAACCGACCAGGTGTCAGTGCTGACGTTTGGAAGCAAGCTCAACTTGAAGAAGCTCAACCAGTGTGAGGGGTTGAAGGTGGCATTTAGGGTTAGGCAGGGTCCCTTTTTATCGCCCTTCTCCTTCCACTGCCAAGCGCCAGGCTGGATGCTGGCGGATGCTCCGCCACCAAGCTGATGCCGCTGCGGCCTGTGTGCGTGCTTGGCGGGCAAGTGGACCTGGAGCCTGATGCGGTTTCACAGATTTTGTGAGTTTTGGACGCATCCATCCCACAAAGGTGCGATTTGGACTTCCCCACAACATGTTCCAAACATGTTTGAAAGGTGCCCCTCTTGAGTTTTGGACCCGCCTTCAGTGGAAAAACGTCAGGCACTGTATGCCAGTTTACACGGGGAGATTGCAATGAGTCAGCACCTTCGGTGAATCAATCTTACATTGACGGCCAGGGGGGCATTCTCTGAACCTCAGCTTGCGCCCTCAGTTTAGAGAACAAGTGCACGGCTTCGTTCGCTATGAGAAGTCATGGAATGTGGCCCCTGCCGTCACAATCCACACAATGAGTGCAGTGTTCACAGTCACAGGGTGCCACCCAGCTGAGTGGAATGTGATAGATAGAGAAAGAGCTGTAATGCTTTTTTGGGTCGCCTGATTGCTTGGCATCCTCGCAGTGTGCTGTGCGAGCCTGAGCCGAAACCAAATTGCCGGCCTCACAGGCGCCGAAGAAGCGGAGTGGTCAGCTCATGGCAACTTATTTTGGAACACCTGAATTTCACTTGCCAGCTCACTTGCATCTTTGCGTCACTTTCGACTTGAATTGATGTGTGTGCTACAAAGGATCTCAGGGCAGGCTGTATTTCCCCTTAGCTCGTCATGGGCTCGGATTCGGAGATTGAGTTCTTGGGGGAATGTGAGCCCATGGCTCTGCCTGCGCGACACTCAGTCCCTGCCGGGCGCTTATTCCTACACACACGTTTGAGCCAACGACCCAGAGCTTGTTTTTCTTTCCCCGAGGCCTTCAACTTGGAGGCCTTGCTTGGTCACTCATGCAGAGGCTTCTGTGGCAGCAAAAAGCAAGCCATCCGCAAAGCCCAAGTCTTCATCGCCAGCATTAGGCGCAGGCCGGCTCAGGTTTTTGCAAGCCGCATTTCACGGAAAAGCAAGTTTACCCTTTGCCTCGTCAGGCTTGCCGCCCAAGTTCAGCGCGACAGCTACTTCCTCTTCGGATGATCAATCAGCAAAACAGGCTGCCGATGACACCGAAGATGACTCTGATAAAAAGACCGCCAAAACGGCTAAGAAGAGACCTTCCCGCAAAGCAACCGCTGAAGAACACGCTGGGGGCATCAAAGGGAAAAAACCAGATGAGGACGATGATGATGATGATGACGGTGAGACTACTGGCGCTGGTGATGCCGGCAACAGCAGCAAGCAAAAGGACAAAACCCCGAAAAAGCGTCCAGCTTCGCAGCGTGCGCGTGAAGGCGGGGAAGTCGCGGATGCTTTTGTTGGTTCGTAGGGGGGGAACTTGGCTACTTGAGGCACCCAAAAGAAACCTGCTGCAAAGCAAGGGCAAGATGGCGAGCATTCCGGCGAACAGGCGCGTAACAGCTAGCGTTTTGGCTTGAGCGTGGGCATGTCTTACTATCAGGAGGCTATCTCTTCGGGGAGTGCGAGACCTACGCTTCGCAGGCTTGGGCATCTTGCTGATGAGGCGGGCGCTGCGCGGTTTGGACCAATCTGGGGGCTTGTGATTTTGGGAGGGCGCGCGTTGCAGGTGGGAGCAAATGAGCCGGTCTACGGCCCGCTCACTATGCAACGGTACATTGCCATGACGCACGACAGGCAGACTGACGGGCCACCAACCCCAGCCACGGCAGCGCAGACACAACTTGACGAGCCACTTGATGAGCCACTTCGCCAGGAGACACTACGCGCAAACTTCCTAAAACACGACTGCTTATAAAGGGCCGGGCCGCAAAGAGACTTCCTTCGTTTCTGGCTTCTGTGAAACTCAATTTAACTTGGCTGTGATACGCGTAAAAGGGAGCTATCTAATTGATGCACAGGACGAGGAAATGACCGACCGCGCCACTCCTGGGGCGCTGGACATGCCTGGCTCAGGCCTCAGCAGTTGATATCCGAGCGGACTTCAAACACATTTTTCACAAGGTGAGGACGCTGCTGTCGTAGCAGATTCGGACACGCTTAGCTACGGCGGGGCGAGGCACTTGGGGCAGGACTGACACTCCAAGACAACAAAGCAGACCGACTGTTCCTTCCATTGTCACACGCAGGACAAGCCTTTGTTGGACAAGTCTGGAACTTCGGGGCAGGCGTGGTTGCTGTGTTTGCTTTAAACTTGCTCTACTTTTGAATTACTTGGACAGGATGAGGTGCTGGATTCCACTTTGAAGGCTTGGGCTGGGATTTGCACCCTCGCTTGACACACTGCCGCGCAGGAGACCAAGAAAGCACCGAAGGCGAAAGCGCGCAAAAACACTGCTGCAAAAACAAAGGCTCAGAAACCCAAAAAGCAAGCTGGCAAAAAGCCAGTTGCGCAAAAGAAACGCAAGGCTGGGTAGCTTGAGCAACACATTTTTCTGTCAATGCTCGTCAATACTTGTTCGTGTTCTGATTGCGTTGCTCAGGGGGATGATGTGGACATGACGATGACGCTGGCGCAGCTGAAAAAAAAGCTTCATAGCGCTGGGGCCTAAGCTTGACTGGGGAGCCAGGCTCATTAATGGCCAAACGATTCTTGGTTTACCGCCTGCTTCCGACAGGCCTACAGCTGTGGGTGGGCAAAGGCAAAAAGTTGCACCTCTGAGCCGGGTAAATGGACAAAGGCAGGTTTCGAGTCTCGCGCTGCCTGCTTGAAACGCCTACAGCAGGCTGGGGTCCCAGTTGCAATCCCTTTTCAGATTTAAGCGTCTAGGCCCATGAGGATCTAGAGCGGGGTGTGCAAAGCAAATTATGTGGTAACATAGCCGCACTGTGGGGGGGATGAAAAAAAAGCTTGCGCGCAAAGGTGCATCGCTGCACTGCTGGCTTGATCAATTGACTGACTGAGTGACTGACAGACTGACTGATGGACTGATTGCCTGACTGAGTGATTCATTGACCACCACGTCCGCCTACTGAGCTTGAAGATTCACCTGCTCCTTGTGCCAGGTCGGTGGGCTGGGCTGGGTGTGCGGATGCTTGCCCTAGCTTGTAAAATGGCGTGCGCATTGTCATGTTAACTAGTTATGTAGGGCTTGTGTGGCCCCTCTTCCAAAGGCTTTCGCAAGGAACATCCAGTTACAAAATGGAAAACATCCACTTGCCAATGTACTCTCTTATATATATATATATATATCTATATGTATATATGTCATATGTCCATGGGGGAGTCGGCCAATGGTGAAAACTGGGGCCCTGCTCCACCCCGTGGCTGCGAGGAGTGGGACGGAGGGAAGGGCAACTTCGAGGTGAAGGAGTTCAGCTCGCCCTCAGCGGGGCTCCGCTACAAGGACGGGCGGCTCGTTTTGGGTGTCTTGGGCCTTGGGCGCTCCCCGGGTTCCGAACAGAAGGCCCCAAATGGTGAGACATGTGGCCTTGAGTTGAAATATCCAGCAATCAGGGTCTTCGAAGGTGTGAAATTCCATGTTGTGGCAGGCAGAGAGACCGCCGGAGATGTTGAGTAATAGCAGCTAGCTGCGTTTGCTCCCCAGAGGCCATTACTGTGAATTCTCAGCTTGCTTGCTAGAGAGTGACCAACAAGGAGAACATGTGATGGAGCGTTCTCTTGAGTACGTCAATTTCACCGCTGAATGAAACCAAATGTGGAACTGAATCGAATGTGACCTCGAAAGAAAGCATCTCGGGTGTGCCAGTGCTGCTATTGAATGTACAATCTACGGACATTTGGGTTTCCCCTCTAAATGCTGACCACTGTGGGTCAATGATCCCAATAGTGATGCTGGTTCATATTATGGGATTGATCAAGAGGTCCTTTGGTTCGGGAAGCAATTCAAAAAACACGACTTTCACCACGGAATGGGAAAAGCTACCCGTGGTCATTTTGACGCCGACCGGAATACTGATCGCCCCCCACATCAAAAGTGGGGCTCCACAGGTGCTGACGCTGCCCGGGAGCTTTGAGCTGGACACCCCTGCGGGGCCCGAGACTTTCTCGAGCGAGGGCTTTTACGCGATCCGCGGGGCCTCGAAGAAGAGGAGGAAGCAGAAGCTGGGGCTGATCCCCGTGTCCCAGCAGTTTGGCACCAGAACCGCGAGTCTTGGCTTGGAATCCGGGGTCGGTGTGGGTAAAACTGGAGAAGATCGATGCTATCGCGATCGCGATCCGGCGGCGATTGCATATCTCTGTTTTGAGTGTGATTCCGCAGGCACGAGAAAGAACATGAAAGAACGGCTCAGTTGTTTACCCAGTCAGGAACCTCATCACCTACGAGGACGACGAGGTTTGGGAGGCTGAGACGTTGGAGCAGTTCAAGGCCTATGCCCAGGACCAGTGGCCCCACTTCCCCCTGGAGGACTTGGTGTCGGAGGAGGAGTTCAAGCGCTTCGCGGAGAACCGCGGTGGGCGCTTCCCCAGGCGCGGCGGAGAGAGGTTCCAAAGATAAATCCTTGACCAGGAGAAGAAGAATAGCTGAACTTGGCGGGGCTCGATTTGTGTTTTCCATTCTTCCTCGCGATCCCAGGGGTGTGCGGTTTCCCTGTCGGAGATGTGCAGCCATTTGAGAAAGTGACCTGAGATTCACCAACGATTGCAAGCCAGGCCCTTTTTTTGTTTGATTTGTTTGGTAGGGTCAGCAGCTCGGTTGGGAAGATAGATACAGCACGCTCTAATTGAGGAATTGAGGTCCAGTACAGAACCCTCTTATGAGGGTTTTGGGTGGACGAGGGGTCCACGGAAGAACAATTCTCAATGAAGAGATTATGCTGACCTCCTTCAGACTGTGGATTCGGTTTGTTTCACCTTTCAATTGCGATCAGAATCGGGGTCCTCAAGCAACGGCGCTTTTCCCCCATTGTCCCCGCCAACACCTCCCCCCATGTAGGTTTGGGGATCAAGAATTCGTATCCATACACAGTTTGCAGGTCAACATTTGGATGGGCTTGCAAACCTTTGTCAACTTCAGTATTCGGGCAGCGTTCAAAGGGATGCCTCGTTTCAAGACCCTCGCAGCTCGAAGACCCCATAGTTTTGTGACAGAGACACGACATGGCCATGGCTATTTGCCAGGCACCCCGTAGGAGAATGGCTGGCGGCTTGCAAGAACGCCAAGAAGACAACGTCGCTCTCGAGATAGTTTTGGGTGCAATGCAGAACCTGTTGGACCGGCACATCAGCTGGAATCAAAAGGAGGCCAAAATGATTTAACTCCGCCAGCCCCGTGTTGAAACCTATTTGATGGTTTGTCTCGCTGCACAGCGATGAGGTTTTCGCCAGGAGGCTTTGCCAAGCAAATGTTGGCGCCCAAGTAATCAAACCTTGCACAAAATGAGACATACAATTTGCGAAGGAGAAGCAAGTGGCATAGGGATGGACCTCTTGAAGCTTCAGAGCTTGCTTCTCCCACCCCGGAGGCCTCCCCCAAAAACGTCGCCGGTCACCATTTCATCCGCAAGCTGAGGCCCGTTGCTTCACATTTCCGGGCACCCCCCGGGGGATTTTGCGACGACGAACACCGAAATCCCCAGCTCTCCCCATCCCCCGCCCGATGCGTGCCGAGTCCGCAGCACTGCGCCTCGGCGGTATGGCGCTCAAATGGTGCCGTTGCGGTGCTGCTGGGAGACGCCCTGCACTCGCTACCCCCCGACATCGGGCAAGGCGCGGGGCTATTGGGAACTGACAGGTCCCATATCCGTGGGGCCCGGAAAAGAAAGCGAAAGGCAAAAGGCCCCCGGGCCCGATTGCAAGGACAAAGCCTTACTTTTCAGGGTATTCCTGTCCCTCAAGTGGCAAGTCCTTATTTCAGGAGTGCATGGTAGGGGGAAATTGCCAGTAGCAGGAATACCCTGAAATGACAAAGTCACGAGGATAGGAACACCGCGTTGGTATCGCTGAATGGGTTCTTTTCCACAACCGTGCACATCGACCCTTGGACACACCAATAATGTATTCTGTGCCAATTTAACCAGTTCAAGAAGGCATGTTGAGAGCCCTTGTGTGCTTGACCTAAGATCTGTTGATACTTCTAGCAGGCGTTGTGCAGTGAAAAGAGAAGCTTGTAATGAAAACTGAGGTGATGACAGTACGTTTGAGCTTGTTGATTGCATATTACACCCACATGCTCTCAATACGTTCATGGGAGCGACTGCCTTCATATACTTCACGGAAGACTGGAGGAAAGGATGGGCGGACACAATCTGTTGGACAACATACTGAATTGGGCCCAACGGAACGTTCATGACATGACGTGTTCGCACGTGCAGCGCTTTTGCCTGCTGAGGGGGTTCGAGCCAAATTTTGCCTTAGCAAAGCAGTTATGGTGGACTCATTGCCCACTGAGCGGGCTCAATGCTGGCTGCAGCTAGCGACGCTCGAGTGAGCGTGTTTGGACGGAAGGCGGGTAGTGTATGAGTACTACTCGCCACCGGTTATGTGCAAAACAAGCAGCTCATCAGGTTGGCAGGGGGTCTTGGCTACACATCCGTCCTACAACGAGGTCCAACACGAGGTCCGAAACGAGTTTCCCAGGCAGGCCATGCGAGAAGCAAGCCGACTTTGTCTCCGAAGAAGTGCCTCCAAATCACATCCATCACCGGCAGAGGAAAAGCTCATAGACGGTAAGCCAACGTGCAGGCGCAAAAACACGATAGATTGGCTCTTCAGCTTGTCGTCCCCCGACTTAACTTCATTTGGCTGCGACAATTGCACCATTCTGGTCCCAGCCCAAGCGCATGCACGGATGGAAAACCCGATCAGTGCCTCAGTGACTTCAACAGGGTGCCGGGCTGGAGAGCGAGGTAGGAACACTCGAATACGCAACTGTGTACAAAGAAAACCTGCCGTAGCTCGTCATAGCGGATCTCAGAAAAAATGTCAGGCTTCTCAGCTTCTCAGCACCTCGCCTGAGCTATCTTCGTTCTCAGGTGGCTGTGGGTCAAAACCAATGGTACCATTTTGGGGTAGGTGCACCACCCATTTTAGAACCTATATTTTAGTGGGGATTGGGATGTTCACTGCGGGCTTTTGACCCATGGCCAGGTGTGAACAGCGCCCTGGAGGACGTCTCTGTTTGTGCCGCCTGCCTGGATGCCCAAGACGACGCCTCCGCGGCGGCCCTGGACTTTGAGAAGCGCAGGAGGGTTGTCACGAGGGTCGGTGTGAGTGTTGTTGGTTCTCCCCACAGAACGAACGGGGCAATGTGCAAACCGAGCAGGAGGGCTCTCCCGTTCAGCTGCTTAACCTACACTTGTGAGTTCATTGCGATTGTGTTGATCCCTCCGCCGCGTGGCATGGGCAGCCTTCTCAAGCATAATCCAAATCCTTCGATTATGCAGCTACCATGTTGCTTAACTTTCCGCCAAGGTTCCCGAGACAAACCCTTCCGCAAACCTTCAGAATAGTGCCCACTCACTTGTGTACCGGGGCAAAAAGGAAAAGAAACGAAGCTCACTTGGCTGCTCCTGTTGCACCATGGATGAAATGTGGCTTCCCGAGCTAATCCTGAGCCCCCAAGCAAGCCTTTTTTGCAAAGTGGTCGGCGGCTGCGGGTTGAACTTGTCGTAGGAGGCGGGTGGGTGGGGGGGTTTGGGTAAACACATTCAGGCAGAGCAGTTGAGTGCACGCAAGTCCGACGGGATCTACCTCGAAACGATCGCTTTTCAACTGGCTACAGTTTGGGTTAGGCAGAACTACCAAGAAAGTCAAGGAGCTGCATGAAGGGCAGGGTGGGCTCTTTGCCAAGAAGATGTACATCCAGTTTTTCCTCTTTTTTCTTGCAGGAATTCCGTGGAAGGTTCGCGGCAGGTTCGCCCTCCAGCCAACGGGATAGGCAAAGAGCTGGGCTCGAAGGACTTCGTTTGAACCGAAGAACGAATCCGCTGCGCTGCTGCTTTGCCTGTCCGAGCTTCTCCTGTGCTCACTAGCCGCGACGCGTCCCGCAATAGAAGTTGCGCGACCGGTGCAACAGAAGCCCGACATCAACCTGTGGCCCGGAAGGCCACGGAAGCAGTTTCAACAAGTCTCATGCCCGCGAAAGCAACAGTTCAGGCCGCAGATTGGCGGAAGGTTCGCGGAAGGTTGAAGAATGCCATCAGAAAAAGTGGAAGAAACTACTTTAAGGCTCTAATGGGAAAACAAAAAACAAAAAACATTGGACATCAGGAGTGCTTGATTGGCGGTGAACCAGTGAGTCCCAATGGGCCTTCGCCATGTTTTGGTGAAGCTTGGAAACTTTGGGGGTGCCACTTCTCCGAACATACATGCAGTGCAGGTCCGGCGAAGCTCCTTGTTCTCCTTATTTGTGCGATTGAATCCTGTCCCAGAGACAGAATCTGATGTGACTAGCCGGCAGATGTGAAATTTGCAAAATGCACTGCTCACAGGTGGATGTCACGTGGAACTGTGGCACTTCTGTTGGCTTATCGACATGATTGCTGGCAAGTAGCGAAATGCAATCAACTACTTTAAAGGAAATAATCAACCAACGATTCAATCAACCCAACTTAGAGAGCAACCGAATTGAGCTTCAAGCGCAGCAGTTTGCTTGGACAAGAGCCACGTGTGCTTCGTGACGCCACTTGCAGGATGCCTGACGTGAAGGCCCTTATCCGAATTGTCCGTGTGGCTGCTCCTTTTCAGCAGCTGGGCTGAATGTGGGTAGCATGAGGGGCTCAACAATCACTAGTTTCCTATGGCTGAAATATGGATTCAAAGTACCCTACAACTCCATTCTAATTCCGGGCCTTGTGTGACCATGTTGGAGGGAGAACTGGGCTTGGGGAGAACTGCAGCGCCAAGAAACCGGACTGTCCAAGCCGTGGGCAAACGCCCATGCAGAAGTGGCATCCAAAATCCATGGCAATTGCCATCCTGAATCCTGTACTTCTCTTTGGAGGAGCTGCCCAGTAGATAGCAACGGACAAGCCATTCAGAGCGGTCTGCTATCGCGCTCGACTTTGCAAGACCTCTTGAGCAGGTGTCAATCGTAGGCTCTTGAATGGGCTTGAGTGTGGGAGCTCCCTGTGTTGAGTGTGTGAATTTTGGGGAGTGGGAGACATGTGCTTCGCCAGCGCAAGCAACGCCGGATTCCCCCTGGCTGCTGGTGCGGATGGCAAGGGGGAATGAGCAACGGCGTTTAAGCAACGGTCAATTTATTGATAGACAGGAAAGGGAACCAATTTTGGAGAGGGTCCGTCGCCCTACCGTTGGCTGTTTGAACTTGACCGACATGCAGATCCTACAATACTTCTGTAGACTTACTTGGCTCTTGTGGTCGCAAGCGGCTGACCAGTATATTGTCGCGGACCAGCATGCAGTTATCATGGGCGGGAAAGGCCACCTATTTCGAAGGCATCCTAAAGCTTTCCAATGATTGCAGCTGGGGTTCCCTTTACTCCCACATCTCCCCCTTACTGCAGATGCGTTGCGCATCTTTCATGTTCAGGTATAGCCAAGCGCCTTGGCGCGGCCGGCTGTGGAATGCGGCTTGGCGGATGGAACGAATTCACTGGTCACCTGGATTGTTGATGTCAGCACTTTCTGAACCGGAGAATTCGCCTCAAGAGGTAACTGACAGAATTCGCCACACTCCGAGATTCCCTGAGGTCTCCTTCTTGTCGCGGCTGTTGCTCAACAAGCTCCTGCCCAAAGCAGCTGGGACTGGAATTCTGGAATTCTGGAGTTAGGTTCCGGGGTCATCGTGTTCTTCACGTGGGATTGTCACGGTGGGACCTTGGATGGCAGCCTCTCTTGGCAATGTGCCCCTGAATCATGTCACTGTAGGGATCAAACTTGAAGTATAGCCTTGCATGTTGAGGAGATGGATGCCCTCCTTTGTGACATTTAGGACTCTTTTTGAGCCAGGTGCAGAAATCGCTAGCTTCATGTGGTTTATGCACTCTGCTTGGGGAGAACGGGATAGCCCTAGGCCTGTAACAATGCAACAAGCATGTTGCTATTGTACAACAGGTTTCTGGGCGAGGATTCGTGGCCCTCTCATTCCTCCCACACAGTGTCCCAAGGAAGTTTGACTGCGGCAGATGTCAAGACCACTGCTGCCAGCCAAGTTTATTTTGAAATCATCAGGGTGGATGAAGAACCCTTGGCTTTTATTTAGCGCCACTAAATTATGAAGTTTCACAGAGATATTCCGCTTTCAAGGCGCATCCAGCAGAACATGCCCAAACAAATGGCGGTTGCGAGCCAAGACACGTTGAAGCTGCGAAGGTTTGTTGTCCAACCAGCTGACCCACCTAGAACCCTTTGGAATGTCTTCAGGGTTTAGCTGCAGGTCGCACAAGTGCTTCTTGGCCACTGGACGTCACCTGAGTCACAATCAAAACCCGGTAGCAAAATGGTCTACCCAGAACGATGCAAAGAATTAAGAAGGCGGCCGCAACTATTGGCTGGGACTGCCCCTTACTAACCTTCATCTACCTGGGTTTTGATTGTGGCTCACCTCTTTGGGGTTTGCGAGGTGTTCGACTTGCCTCTCTTCTTGCAGATCCAGCAGTCCGAGCTGAGCTACTCCGAGGCCAGCCGTTTTGCCATCTCTATCAGGATCATAGGTGCCCTTTTCAGGTTAGTTTAGTTGAATTAGATGGCACTGGTTTAGATGAGTTTTCTTCCATTTACCAGGGCCATCTATTTGTCCAAAAGGCTATCTCATGATCAGGATATGTCATGTGTGTTTTGTCCATTTGTCCCATGCCTGCGGGGTGGACGCGATCTTGTTTGAGATGGGGTAAGTTTTGGACACGCGGCCCAACTCAACACAACACGGCGTGCTATCACCAGCTGCTCACTGAGGGCTCAACATCCTTTGCGGAAGTTGTAGCACTTACCATCCCTGAGTCCTCAAGCGCCACTTTGCAAATTGGTATCCAAGTTAAGCCAAATTGGACTGAGTCCATGGAGATGGTTGCTCATTTTTCTTCAGCGATTGTCTGCATGTCTGTTTGTCAGTCAGGCTGTCAGTCAGTCCGTTTGGTTGTTTGTTTGTCGGTTTGACTGCTTGATAATTTGTTTGTCTAAGTGTTGGTTCGTTTGTTTCTATGTTGGATTGAGCTCTTTTAGGATGGTTTGTTTGTTTGCTTGTTTGCTTGTCTCTCTGTCCTGTCTTCCTGTTTGTCTGCCTGTGCTGTCTGTCCTGTCCCGTCCCGTCCCGTCCTGTTTGTCTGTCTGTTTGTTGATTGTTTGTTTGGCTATCCAGGTTTGCCTGGCTGCGTGCATTTTTGTTCATTTGTTTTGGTTCGTGTGTTTTGGTTCGCGTGCATATAAGCATGGTCTGGCCTCAGCCCCAAAAACTATCATTCCCGTCCCGCTCGATTCAACCTGAAACAAACCCAACCGACCCCAAATCAATTGCAAGCCAACTCTGAACAATCCAAGCTACTTCATTGCCGGCAAACTGGGACAAGGGCGGTGGGATGGGGATAGGAGTGAGGGAAGGGTCGAGCGGCTGGATATAATTTCACTACATGAGTAAGTGGTCTTTGCTGTTCTTTGCTTCGCTTTGCTTTGCTCTGCTCTGCTTTGCTTTGCTTTGCCTTGCTTGCTTGCTTGCCGTTCGTTTGTTTGTTTGCTTGCTCGCATGCTGCTTTCCTTTATTTTGATCACTGCACGTATCCATCCATACACACCACCCACGTGCTATCAGTTTTGGTTTTAGGCCCATGTCGCGAGAGGTCTGGCGGCGAGGGAGCAGGGGCGCCCGCAGGGCCAGCGCGCTGGGCTTGCTGTTGGCAGGCGGTTCCAGAGGTCGTGGGTGTGTTATGTTTTGAGGGTACCTCTTTTGGGATTGCTTCAAATGGAGGTGAAGGGGAAAACCACCAGTTTGAGGGGTCCTCTAAAAAAGACACACCCATATCTTCCTTTTTGGGTGATTGACATCACACGCGTTGGGCCATTGGAAGATGTTTATTGGAGGTGTATAAGGAAGCCTGTGTCCTGACAAAGAGGCGATGGTAGTGTTGAGGTTCTTCATCATGCAAGCACTGCACAGGCACGAATAATGTTGGGTTTTATTTGCAAGATCGGCCACTTGGGGAAGTAGCAATGGGATCCCTGTCAGAAGCTGGCCCCAACACATTCTGCCAGCTAAGGGGAAGTGGAGCTCGATCCCATTGTCGAATATGTTGGGGCGAAAGCGTTTAAACTAGGCTAGGTCTCCCAGTAGTGCCCTTTTACCCTTTTTAGTAGGAGGGTTCCCCTACTAAAATAACTACAGAAAAAAAGGGCACCCTAGCGTCTCTACTGGAGGACCTAGTAGGTGTTTTGTTTTTGAAGGGAAGTAAAAGGCCGCTGTCCAGCAAGAGCTGAAGAGAGGTTGGTTAGGAAGTTGGTGGCTACCAAAGCATTTGCACCGCTCTTGGCAAAGTTTATGATGACCTCGCAAATGGGCTTTGACCTGTTCTGGGTTGAATGGATACAAAGCGTTTCGATGGACAATCATTCCATTTGAGGTTGGTGAAGCATGGCCAGCTTGAGCATCGAACCACAGTCCGCCAAACGCAAGCGGACAGGGCTTGCTCGCTTTGGACACCGCCAGGTGTCCTGCTGCGCGCGTTGATTCACTGACATGTCTTTGCTTAAACAAATGGTGACTGCAGCTACACAGAGAGAGAGAGAGAGAGCGAGAGAGAGAGAGAGAGAGAGAGACCAAGACAACTCAGGTGCCGCCCCGGTCTTGCATGTTGGGCGATGTCATTCAAGGAGGGCGGCTTTTTCCCTCATGTGTCAAGGGGAAAAGGGCTGCGAGCTGTGTTGAGTCTTAAGGCCCCAACGTTGTGTGCAGAACCTGGCATGGCTCAATTTGCATTTTTGGGTGTTTCTTCCCATGTTCCTGTGCATTGCTCATGTTCCGGCATTTCCTTGCGCTCATTTGCTGGCAAGAAGGCTTGTGGTTGGAGGGGATGAAACGATTGAATTCTGGGATGAAGCACCTATCAACTGGTGCAGGGTTTTGTCCATCCATGGTAGGAGTAACTTTGAAGCAGGATGCACCTTGGCATCAGCTCCATTGGTGCGGAATGCAGGGCTTGGGCATACTCTGAGAACCGAGCATGGGCCAGCTTTGGTGCTCAAAAACGGCCGCGCGAAAATGGACCGCAGAGCTCGGGTGCTTCACATTGGACATGGCCTTCACGCACTGTTTTCTTGGGCCAGTAGCACCACTCACTCCAAACGGACCATACGTCCACAGCTTTGGGCGTTGAATATTCTGGCATCCGGTGGTGTCACCTTCCTGCATTCCATGGCGCTGGTTCGGCAGTTTCTGCTGCAAGCGCTGGTGATTGCAGTTCCTTGGCGTATGAGCTGAAGCACAGCGCGCTGGGGGTGGGTGAGGAGCGCCTGTTGCGCATGCTTTCCTTTATTGGGGCATCTGGATTTATAAACCAGTTGGCAAATGACGAGTCCAGTGCGGACCCTTCACCTTTCGGGGCTGGAACCGGTTAGTTCCCCCCGCCTTGCAGTGTGTGGATGCGTGTCTCTGTGTGTTTGTGCCCGTACAGGGCTGGCGATGTCTCATGGCAGTTGGCTCAGGTTCCATTCCTACTGCAGGCACGGCGTTGAGCCAATGCATGTTGCGATCCGCATGTGCGGACGGTTGCTTCGGTGGATTGTGGGGCTGGCAGCAGAATCCTCCTCTTGCGGGGCATGCGCGCACTTGTCGGCGGTGATTCGTCCTCGGCTTCCTCAGCCCCTGATTTGTGGACGGATCTGTCACTATGGTAGCCCGTGCACCCCTTCACCCCTTAGATTGTGCCAAGGGAGCACACGAAGAAAGGCTTTTCCATTGGCGTCCGTTGCCTGAAAGTCGCGGATGAATCCTCAATTGTTGTGTGCACAAGCTGCGGGGCAACAGTCGTAATCTGTTGTTGGCCTTTGCATGTTGAAGAATGACAGAGGAGTTGTGCAAAAGTCGATATTTCGATAGATGATAGATGATTGGACAATCTTCCTAGGGATTCCCGGATTCCCCGGTGCCGGGCTTCCGTGGGCTGTTTGGCTGCCAGGGCTGTGGGACGTCCGACGACTCGCCGGGAAGCCCAGCGAATGAAGCAGCCGCGTGGTTTGGAGAGTCCTTGTGGCGTGGAAACATGCGGGGCTTTGGCCGCGCCGTTTGAAATCAGGGCGCTGCTTTGCGGCGGCCAACATGTTAATTATTGTTGCAGTTGTGTTAAGGCCGTTGAGGGTTGAGGTGGTCTTCTTTTCATTGACATTCTAAGAATGAGTCATGAGGGCGCTGACCCTAACACGGGAAATTCAGAGTGTTCAGCTCACGGTCATGCATGGCGTCTTGTGAGCTCCCGCTTACAATGCTGTTCACAGCTCAGCTCGCTGGCTAGCGAAGTCAAGCCACTGTCACGTTTCAACGTTTTGTCTCTCTCAACCACCAAGACCTCGTGACGAATTGCATTTGCTGTTTGCACCGCCACACGACTTGTTGCCATCCCTGATGTTTGAGCGCGAGCGTTTCTTGTTCGTAGCGGTGTTTGCCAGTTTGTTGGCAATTTGGTGCATTCTTTCTTGCCATAATAGAAAGGACAACATAGTTACTAAGGGCTACCTGATGAATAAAAAAAGACTTCAGTGTACCCCAACATAAAAACAGGCAGATGGTTTGGCTCCCATGTGGTTGGATTCCATGACTTACCATCTCCGGCGGACTCGGATGTTTTCCGCCGGATCGGTGCCGGCTCCAGGCAGCCTTCCAAGGCCCGGCAAATGGACTGGGGTCACGGGTTGGGAAGGCCGAGGATTTGGATCATAGGTGTGCTGTTGAGTTTTGGTTACAAGCGAATGGCACCGGTTTAGTTTGGTGTTATTCCATTTGTCAGGACCATCCATTTTGACAGCAGGCCACCTATGATTTGGATGCCATGGGTGGTTTGCCTTTGATATCCAACCTGCAAACCAACCCCAAGAGGCGAATTGCACTGAAGAAAGACGCCAAGCAACTCAGGCCAAGAGCCAGTTTCTTTTGCCGGGGTTTGGACCGTGGTAGTTTGCGCTGTTTCCCCGGCTTTTGTTGCGACCCTGGATGTCCCAGGCAAGTAAGTTTATGGGTTGAAGCTCATTGTCATTCGCTAAGTGGGCGGGATTAGAACCTGGCAAACCAGCTCTGCGCTGATGAACCAGATTCACATGTTGTGTGTCCTGGCGCTCGGCCTCAAGGTGCACTTGACAAAGGTGCAAGCCAAGCAAAGCAGCTGTGTCCATTAGACTATTTTAACTTTGTACGCCTGAGTTCAATTCCAGCTATTCCAGGTTCAAGGCTTGGTCCAGGAATGCTTCGCCAAGTTGGTGCCTTGGGGGTTTGGCAACGAGGGGCAAGACAGTTCCAGTCCTTGTTGCTGGCAGCCTGCCAGCCGCAAAATATCCTGGGGCTTTGTTTGCCTCACCGTTCCCTTTTGGCAGGCGTGGCGACGAACGGGACTCGCGGCGCATTCACGCCAGGCGCGCAAAGCCAGCGAGGTGGTGAATGTGCCGGGCTGGCCGGATGTGAAAGGCAAGTTCCCGTTGTCCTTTGGCATCAAGGCAGGGCGTCCGCGGGAATCCTGGGTAGAAGTTTGACGGGAATGTTGCCTGCATTGTTGCTTTTGTCAATTCGCATTGGGGACTGATACATGTTCAAACAAGGTGTGCTAATTACCATGCTTCTTCCTGACAGAAGCGTTCATGGCTGTCCACGGCTCTCCGGCCAGCTCGACCACACACATTCCAGAGTTCTTATGCACAGGTGAGTACAGCAAGCGCCAGCTCGGCTGATACCATGGGGCTGGTCTCCAAATGAACCCCGGGAACCCCGGGCAATGCCATTCAGCTGGTCTCCACCTGGGGTTCGGGTGGTTTCCCGGTGGACACGCCAGGCTGGGAGCCTGGTGTACGCCAGCGGCATGCAGGGCATGGACATGAAGACCATGAAGCCCGGGCACGCCGGCGAGCGAGACCCGCGCTGTTGAGATATATGGGGGGCGTCTCGTTGGAGGTGCGTACCTCTTGTGTTTTGAAGGGAAACCAAGAGGAAAACCACGATTTTGGAGGGGTCCCCAAGGCAAAAGGCACTCCAGATGGCCTCCTTCATGGCAACTTTTGAATCGACTTCCACTGGTTTCGTGCAATTCGCAAGCTGTGTCTAGATTCCGCCAAAAAGGCGTGCGCCCACTTCTTGAAATTTTGGGTCATCCCCCTTCCCCGAATGATGCATGCCGTTTCTCGCCCCACATGAATGTTTGGACATGTTCCTGGCGGAAGATTGAAGCATTGATCAATGTGGTTCCAGAGCGGCTCATGTGTCATCACTTCAGATCCTTGTACAAGTATAGTCTCAGACACGAGCATATTATGTGCATGAAAGTTGTAAGTGATGATTTTCACATTAATACTGTCAGACATGATGTTTGTGCGAGAAGCTGATGTTGACTTCTGCACCATCGAGCTTTACAGGGAAAGATTTGGTTTATTGCACAGTGAAACTTAAGGCAAGCACAAATGCAAGCCAAGAAGCAAGAGCGTAGACTTGGACGTGGTGTTTGAGGGAACATGTATTTGCTGGGTCTAAGATTGCCTGTTGTTTGAGGGTATTTCACAACCGTTGGCCGATGGTTGGATTAGTGGGAGCTCGGGTGTTGATATCAGCTAGTCCTGATTCATCCTCACAAAGAACGGCTCGGACACTGGGTAGGAAAGCAGATGCAAGGTGTGCACTTTGATGTTTTTGTTTCGCAGAGGGCTTGACCAAAAGGCATCATCGGTATCCATGATTTTGGGATGAATGCTGCGGCTTGACAACCTCCGCTTTGTTTAATCGAGGGTGGCTGAAAAAGGGGCTCCCCGCCAAGCAGCGTTATTTGGCTGTGCGTCAAAATTAAACCACAAGGGGACCGCAGGTTTTAGTCCATGTTTCCTTCTACCAGGGTTCCATCTTGGGTACCTATTTTTGACCCACAGCCATTTTCCTGCTGGAAAGGGAGTTGGTACCGGCTCGTCCTTCGCTCGTGCAAGGCTGGTGGAGGGTGGCGTGCAGGAGGAGACGAAGCAAATCCTGAAAAACCTTGGGGAGTTGCTCCAGGCGAAGCCGCTTGTTTAACCACGGCCACCAGCGAGTGTTTCGCAGCCTTGCATCTTACCATTGCTTACTTGCCGCTGACCATTCGAACTTTGGTTTCCTGTCACTCCGTTTGCAGTGGTCCCAAAGGTTAACCTTCCGTATTTCAATTAGATAACGGAGTCTGATCTGATATAGCAAAATTCCCAAGTTTGTGAATTGGGAAAAACAAACCAAAAGCACACAAGCTTCGATGGAGCCTGGAGCCCCAGAATGACCAGTGCCAGAAAGGGCAGCCTGCGAGGTTGCGAATCCATTCACCGATTTGGATGCGTAAATTGTTTGAGGCTCCCTTGTTTTATTATTATTATTATTACTATTATGTTTTTTTTCCGGAAACCGACAGGAAAACCACCGAGTTTGAGGTCCGACGGTCCGAATCTGTTTTTTAGCACATGGGCGTGTTTTTCGTTAGGGAACCCCGAAAATGGTGGTTTTCCTGTTGGTTTCCCTTAAGAACCACAAAACAAAAATATCCTCAAAAACAGACAGACCCACATACCCACTTCTTTTGCTTGCACCTCCGGAGGCTGCTGGCAGCAGCATGCAGCAGGTCACGCTGTGCCCCAGCTGCAGTTCCGGCTAAAGGGTGGTGTTCTCCTTTTGGTGGCTTCTTGAATACAGACTTGCACTACAACATGCCAACCCATGAGAATCGAAGAGAGAGAAGGGTCTGTGGCAAACTCATATTTCCAGTTGAAGTTCAGAAGCGTGATGATGCGTAGCCCGTTGCATCGACATCCTCAAATCACAACAGGTTGTCCACAAGCAAGAACATACATCATGTTCCCACCCAAAATACAGATTGCAACCGCTGCCGGACCTTCCCTTCAGACAGACTCCATTCAATCCGCCATTTGCAATGCACGCAAGATATCTCTGTGTCACACAAGGCTTTGCGTGGTACGTGCGCCATCAAGATGTCTGTGTGTGTGTGTGTTTCCAAATGGCGTCTGTGCTGTGCATCTCGTTTGTATTTCCAGGCAAGGATTAGAGTCAGAGACTTCGGGAGCACAAGAGTGGCGTCCAAGGTTTGACTTGGCATCCCAAGCTTCGCCTGGAGAGGGATATCAAAGCCGGGACTTGGCACTCAGATCATATAGCTCTGTCCTTGCGCGTCTGAATTCGAATTGAATTCACCACGTGGCAATGTCGATCAGCGCTCCCCGGGCCGGGCAATGCGCCTTCCAGCCTCGGGCTTCGCGGAAGGTGCAGCGTGTCGCTGGTGAACATCACCCGAGATTTCAAGGACATGAACCAGGCGTGTCCCATATGCCTTGCGCGCATAGAAGGCCCATGGCCCTGACCCAATGCCCACAAGGAGCAAGCATCCGCATGATAGGTGTTTTGCTTGCTGGCCTGGTTTGAAGCCCGTTGATGATGGCGTCCAAAAGGGGTCCCCGGTTTCGACAAACGTCTCCTTGGGTTTCCCATCCAGCAAAGTAACTGAGCTTGTGAACTTAGAATATCCTGCAAAAAGAAGACGACCGTTTCGTTTCTTGGAACAAGCAACGCATTTGTACAGCGCAAATCGTGGCGAGCTCACCTGGGTACAACGACGGAAGATTCCTGGAGCCACGGAAGACCCTTGCAGGTGAACTTGTTGGGATCCGTTGATTTCTTGATTCACAACATATCTAGGGAGGCATGTGCGATTAAAATCATGGGCAAAACCGTTTACCTCTCCTCTGATGGCATCCATGGGGGCCCAGATGTTCTCGCAGACACAGGGATGATTGATATGCTTGCATACCCCCTGTATCCTCTGACATCAGGTCGGCTGGTCGGCTGGTCGGCCGGTCGGCCGGTCGGTCGGTCGGTCGGTCGGTCGGTCGGTCGGTCGGTCGGTTGGTTGGTTGGTTGGTTTGCAGTCCCTATGGACAGCTTGTGGGCACAAGGGCTTTCCATTTGTGAAGTAAGATCTACTCGTCGTGCCCGGTGGCCTCATAACCGAAGGCCTACAGCAGCTTCTGGCCGGCGGCACCTCCGGCACGGGTGGCGGTGCAGGTGGCCGCTCTCGCGGGGAACGCCTCAGCTCGCGGCCTCAGAAGTCATGGGCCGGCATGCCGAATTCCCGAATGTGTCAATTGCAGTATTTCTGGCAAATATTATGATGACACCACAATTTTAAGCGGCTTATAATCAGGCTTACGAACCACTTACCTGACGTACCCTGCCCCTTTGAGTACAATTCCTCGCGCTTTCCTAGCCATTGTTCCGAGGTGGAAATCCAGTGCACTGCCGCCCTGGACGGCAAGAACCGGACCACCGTCCAGGTGCGAAAGATGGGCAACAGAAAGGGTGCTGGAGTTGCGCTAAGTATTTGCATGGTCCAAAAGTCCAAAGCCGACCTTTTGACCTGTTGATTTTCCCATTTTGGTCCATGTTTGGTCAAGGTTCCAAAAGGTTCACCGCTTGTTTCCATTCCCTTTGGGCAAGTGAGAATACCTTGGACCTTGCACTATGGCCACAACTACGCAATGATTGCGACCAGTAGTTGGTTCACCATGGAGGCGACCTCACAAACCGGTTGCCCCGGGATGCCGTCGACATTTCCTGATTTCGGATTGGTGGGCGCACAAGCTCTCATAAGGCTGATGTGCCGGGCCTCTTGTGAAACCCGTACTTCTTGTGTTCGCTTTGAAAGGGCACCCGAAAAGCATCCACAATTGACCGACAGAGGACTTTCCACTCTTCCTGAGAGCTTGCGCTCGATGTGATGTGTGTACTTTGGGCGCAGGTTTTTTCGGGTGCGATTCAACATTTGCGCAGACTATGACAGTTGCATTTTGGCGGGCGGATGTGGTGGAGCCCGCTTCCGGCTACGCAAGCCTTTGCCAGTTGTAAAATCATGAGTGACGGGCAATCAACCTGCAGTTCTTGCTGGTTCATTTTCGGAGGGGTTGAATGTGTCAACTCGGATGTGCGCTGCGTTGCAACCTTGTGTAGACAGGCCCATGAAGCTGATTCAAGCTGTTTGTTGCTTGCATGTTAGGCCTGGTGGCCTGCTTGCAGTGGCTGGTTGACACGCCGGCAAAACCCTCTCCGGGTGAACGGCAACGTCGTTTCGTGTTCCCAAAAAGATTCAAGAAGCTGAGTCAATCCGGGAGCTGATTTTGAGCTTTCTACCATGCCTTCTTTCATGCCGAATCAGCTGGTGCCGCATGATTTTGAACCAGAGCTGATTTTGACGCACCTCTTCTGGTTCATGCCAAGCCCAGCCCCGTTCCGCAAGCGACGCCTTTGCTCTGAGCCGGTCTATCGACCTCTCAGGTGCCTGGCTTTCCGGACCTCGCGGCCAAAGGCGGGGGGGGGCATGATCTGGTCGGAAGAGATCTGCGTGGCTCGCCCTTGTTTGGGGTGGTTTTAATGGGGAGCCAAAAGGAAAGCCGCCCGTATTTCAGTGGGTCCCCCAACAAAAAGACATCAGACACAGCCATATGGCCGGAATTCAGCGGCGTTTGTTTTCGATCCACTGACGAAACGGCCAGTTCAACCATTGCTCCGGCAGCAAAACTGAAGAGATTCGGCCTGCATTTGATGTTTCAAGACAATTCTGAGTGATAGAAGTTGATTAACGGGGGATCAAGTTTCCAATAGGGGGTTGCACATGTTTGCCGGGGGCTTTGTATTTTCCTGCACGGAGGTTTGCCACTCGCTGGCGAAGCAAGAGCAAGCATTTGTGATTATCAAGCAGTTCCCCTGTCACTTTTTGAGACCCCAGGTCCGGATGGGTATGGGTCAAAATAAAATCACCAGGGGACGGCAAGTTTTGGTCCATGTTTCCACTTACCAGGGTTCCATTTGAGGTGCGTATTTTTGACCCACAGCCAGCTACCAAAAGACGCAGACGGCCGAACGTCCGAGGCTTCCCGCTGTCATGGGCCACGAAGGTGGACGGCATGCTGTATCTGAGCGGCGCGGCCCCCGTGGATCCTCTTTTTTTTTTCCTCCCTAGACGCACGTTGGCTTTGTCTCTAGATGGGGATACTGTGGAAGGACGAAATCGGTTTCTCACCACTTTGAAGGTGTGAGAAGCTATTACGCTTGGTACTTGCAGGGGGATCATCATTCCAGGGCTTCGTAGGTGGTGCAATCCATGGTTTCTCAAAATAGGGGCCCCCATTTTCGCCAAGGTGGAAAGGGTAACCTGTAGCCTCAAAAAGACAGCGTGGGGGATTGTCATGGACCGTTTGGCAGGGACTTGAAACAAGCATGGTACGGATTCTTAGCCAAGCAGCCATGAGCATGAATCGTATCGAATGGCACAGATGAGCATGCCCCGAAATAGCGGTTGCCTTGTGGTATTCATTTAGCACGAACGAGAAGGGGTCCCGCTGGGAAAAACATGAAGGACACGCCTATATTGTGCAGACGGCAGGCAGTTGAGCCAAATTACGCAGTTGGAAGAAATAAGCGCATCCGCATCATAAGGCTAGTCCCTGGCGAAGGTCGGTGATTTCGGGACATTGACTTTTTCACATTTCATATGGCATTGTTCAGCCGACTTTTTAGCAAAGTCTTCTTGTTCTTGACGCAGTGTTGTGCACGTCAAAATTGGGAGCGTCTTCCCAGAGCCCCTCCGGAAGTCTTGCGTCTTTGGCGTGGCTTGATGAAATGTCAGGCTTGGGCAATTTGCCCTCACGGCATTGAACGTCAGGCCATGCGAGGCCTTGAGCCACAATCAAAAACTCCAGGTCCCAACCAGAAATGGGTGCAGCCGCCTGTTCCATTCTTTACATGGTTCCGGGTAGACGATTGTAATACCGGGTTTCAATTATGACCGGGGTTTTGCCCCGTTCAAATCGCCCGGCCCAACCAGTCCCCAGGTGCGCAGGGCATGGACATGGCCACAGGGAAGGTGGTGTCTGGGGGTGTGCAGGCAGAGACAACGCAGGCGGGAGGAGAGAAGTGCAGAGCTCCTTGTTTGTACTGTGTGATCTGTGTGATCTGTTCTTTTTGTTTGTGTTTATTTGTTCAAATACTTGGATACCTAGGCGCACCCTTTAAGCCGTTTCTAAGAGCCTTACCATGGTGGAAGTCTGGGGAGAGAGGCTCTGAAGGTAGGTTCCTGCCACAATGTGTTGTTCATGATTTATTCAATGTTTAGATAGGTTCATATAGGTTCCAAATGATTGCTGGTGGAAGGGCAATTTATAGACTCATAAACCTATATGTTTCACCGCTTCAATCCCTTTCTGCCTAGCCGTTGCCTCAAGGATTGCCAAGTCCAAGGCTGGATATTGCCACTGGCAGAAGCTGCAAGCCGCCGACTGCCACGTTTTCGACCGGAGGAATTGTTTTCGAGGTCCCCGTGGTCCTAATTTTGAGCCGCCTCAAGTGGGCATGGGTCAAAATCTAAATCGTACCCCCAGTGAACATCAACCAATCCAACCACTAGAACAGGTTCTAAAATGGGAGGTGAATTCACCAACCCCAAAACTGGGATCCCAAAACGGTTTTGACAACCACAGCCAAGTGGGCCTTCTGCTTCAAGTCGAACAGGCGCTGCAGAATCTGGAGAAGGTGCTGCAAGCCGCAAGCTCGAACGCAGGCAGAGTGGCCTGGCAGCAGCCCAGGTCACCCCCCCGTTGTCCCGGTTCGTTTGGGGAATAAGCATGGGAAAAGCCCAAAAGCCCTGAAGCATGTGCAGCAATGAACCCGCTTTGTAAATTCCCCCTGGAAATTGTTGAGCTCGGCGTTTCAATCATTGCGCGTATGTGAATTGCGCCTACATTGATGCAGGCGCACGCCTGCATAATGCCCTGCAAAAGGAGGATCCGATTTCAAAGCCAAAGGCTTGCACCGAAGGGATTCGTGACGAAGTTTCACAACGTTTAGAACTGAAATATCCCCAAAGAGAGTTCCCTTCTTCTGCCACTGGGCAAGTCGTTCGGATTGCCCCTCGTGTTCTTTGATGTCACACCACTCCCGAAACAATGGGCCCACCAGGGCTGTCCAATGCTTCGCTCTAAGACTTTGGGCTTTGGGCTTTCCAAGTGGTGAACCTGTTCAGTCCACTCGAGAAGGTGTTGCACGCATGGACAGGGAATGTTTCAGGAGTGCTTTCGGCAGTTTGAAGTGCAACTGCGATGCCTTCAATCGTGTGCTTTAGATTGCCGATAGCCAAATGATAATTTATGCAATGCTGAGTCATTGGTCCCATGTTTGTTTGGGGGGTTCAACTCTTCTATGACTTGCATCCTAAGCTCTTATGCCTTTTCATCATGCGGAAGGAATGCTAAGCATTGCTCGCAATCAATTCAACCTTGTGAGCAACAGGGAGGGACCCTGTCATTTACTGGCTTCCTTTCAATACCATCCAGATCCGGGCATAGCTGTTGGCCAGCTATACCATGCCTGGTTGTGCTCAGCCACTGCGCATGAGGTGGTTGCTTGCAGCGTGTCGCTCACCAACATGAGTGACTTCTCAGAGATGAACCAGGTTGGCAGCATTCTGGAGTGTCCTCTTGGGCAGGAACCACAACTCCTAGCTTTCTTGCAAAAAACAGCTATGGCTTTTACATTATTCTGCAAGTAGTTGCCACCTGCAGTATGTAAACAAGGCGGATTATGTGAGATACACAAGGTCAGGTTCATGTTAATTTGGGAACTTGTGTTTGGCCTTCGACTTTGACAGTAACGATGTACGGAATGACACAAAGTCGAAGAAGCTGGCTCAAGCTGATTGGACCACAACAACGTTCGTCATGTAGTGTACAAAATTATGCGATCAGCCTTGTTGTATTTGCTGCTTAGAGGATTTGAAGACCCCATGATTAGCCAGCATTCGGGCACAGTCCGCATTTATAACGGAGGCCTTTACTTCGAACAATGAGCATGTTTGTATGTGTCCCCTAGACTTTAAGTGACATTCAACCTCCGCAACTGGATCGCCGACCCACCGACAGAGCCCGTGACACACACTGTGACAGCCCAAAGCCTGAGGCTCCCGCAGCGACAGCCCAAAAGCTGAGGTTCTCCCCGGCCAGCGGCCGGGGGGACAGCCGCGACAGCCCAGCTGGGGGGTGTTTGCAGGGCTGCGCCCAGAGCAGTCGCAAGATTCGCGCTCACGCCGTGCACGCAGCCCTTGGGAGCATGTGTGAGCTTCCGCCGCAAGTGCTTGTGCTCTGCTTGCTATAGAGCAGCCTCACAGAGCTGGATGTTGAGCACGCTTGCATCGCGGGAGAAAGCGTGGAATGTCTCAGGTGGGGTAAAGTAATTCAGCCCAAACTTTCAAGCTGTTCAGGGGACGGGAATCCGCTTCCTTCCCAATTCAGACTGTGCTTTTAGTGACTGGTGGAATGCTCAGCCAAGAGCCAATCCTATGGCTGTGAAGTACATCTTACATGAACGAGCTTCCATCCGAGCCATAGAAAGGCTTCAGTCATTGCCAGGGAAAACCACCACCATCCCATCCTTCGCAGCTTGGTCATGACCCGTGCATATGTGTGGTCAAAGCACATGTTTATTTGTGTGTTGGTAGGGATTAGAATCGACCCCCTGCTGGGGAGGCTAGATAACTGTTTCAAAGGTTCCTGTTGAAGAAGCCATCACCATGGCACATGTTTTTGTTGCTTTAAACCTTTATTTAGTTCGCTTCATCGTCGCTGTGTTTATGCAGCATTCAAGCATCGAAGTCGTATGCGATCAACATTCACATTGCCTGCCAAGTGCAGTTTGGAGCTTGAAAGTCAAAGTGCAGTTGCATGTGGCCTGTTCAGGGGGTTTGAGAATGCATGCGTTCTCATGCATGACACACTTGGAGTGCTGCCCCAAAATGGCCAAAGTAGGATGCTGTAAAGGAGCCACCGTAGGCCTCTTTACTTGATCCCTGGCACCACAGGCAACCATTGCCCCTCAACCGAAGATCATGATTCAACCAATGGCGTCATAACTTCTTCCAGGGTTTTGCTTGGAGCAAATCCATAGAGTCGCACGTGGCAGGATGCCCAAACTCGTGCTGTTCCCACCCGCAAATTCTTTATGGGAGGCCTACCAGGCCTTCTGGCCAAAGTCCCCGGAGCTGGGGGGCTTGCCCTCTCGGGCCTGGACCCCAGTGAAGCTCCACCCTTTTAAAGTGGACTTTTACCTAGGCGCAGCAATCACTATGAGTATACTCATTTTGTTGTATTTTCCCGTTATAGTTTTACAAGGAAATTATCACAGCTGGAAATATTGCAATTTTTCCACGGGGCTCAAGTCAGAATCATGACTGAATTTGGATTTAAATTAGCCACATTTTCGAGGGGAGTAAATGCAGCATGAGAGAATAGCAGGGTTCCGTCTTACGAAGTGTGGCATACAGCAAAGTGGCGCTTTAAAGATCTACTTCACACGTTGACACAAGTGCAAACGACAAAGGTCAGAACACGTCCTGGAAATCTGAAAATGTGCCTGCTGCATTTCCACGCCTTGCGGGTAGGGCCCAAGGGGGCCTTCGGAAGCGATGTGCGCGAAGCTGCAACGCTCACTTGAGCATATTTCACTGCCAGCTCCTGGCACCTCACCTGCGCGCCCAACCCTGCAGCAAGTTTGATCCTTCTGTGTTAACAGCCATGTTGTCCACCGGTTTGGGCTGTTCCATAGATGATTCGCCACTGGCGCAAGCCTTTCATGGAGATGCGCATGTTGGCTTGCATTTGAAGTTGCCACGAGGACCACCACCATTGCAAGCTATCCACAGAGAGATGCCTGGCTGATAGTTGTTTCAACGCCTGGCATCATTGGAAGCCACCGAGGTTTGCGTGGAGGTGTCAGCACTAGCTGGTACCGGCAAGGCAAGGGCCATATAGCACAGCCGTGCCGCGCTGTTACACTGTTGGACTTGCCCCCCCAGACTATGTACTGACAAAAGGCGCTATTGATTGGTTTCCCTTGAAATCATTTGGATTTGCCAACTGCAATCTGATTCCAGCTCATTGCAGTTGCTTGTCCTTCTGCGGCCAGCCCGTGCCTCCTTTCCTGTGGGCCAATATTTTGAAGCTGCAGGTCGAGATACAGTGCACTGCCGCAGGCAGGGTGGACAATTGGGCGGCGCTGAGGAATGCCAGATCCGAGAGATACATCGATATTGATTTTGATCCGTCGCCGCCTGCACTGATATAGAAACACACACATGGTTCTTGCCGAGAAATTCCGAGTGGCACACATGTTTGTACACTCACCAGTCAGTGGCCACGGACATAAGAATTGGACTCCTTTCTTGGTTGCTTGTCCAGCTCTGCAGTTGAATCCTGCCCACAGGTGAATGCCCCTATATAACGTTGGGACGCCTGTGTCAGGCACCGACGTGCCCCACGGGGAAGTGCCCAGCGTCGTGAAGGCAGGGAGAAAGCGGAGGGTCGATGACTGCAGGAGATCATGCAACGCAAGTTGCGCTTTGGCTAGCACGCCCTAAGCCTTTGATCGATCTTGCAGACACGGGCAAATCCAGCACCCCTTGTCTTGGCTACGGGTTGGAACGCAGACACGGGTAGCTCATGTGCGTTCCACCTTGCCCTTTTAGATTTCTTGTTTCAGGATGTGATATATCATTCATACATACCCTTTGCACTTTGCCACGTCGTTTGTAATTTTGCGGAGCCACTATATGGATGGCAGAGCAACCTTGCCCGTGTTGGGTTGGTGGTCGTTGCAGATGATCCGTGTCGGTTGTTGACTAAGGTCCATGGGCAAAGTATAGCGACCTGGAAAACCCCCCCCATTTCACTCGCGTTTTTCTTCAAGCACAGTTATCTGAAGTGGGGTATAGGAGCCCTGACCTTCTTATGAAGCAATGCAGAAAGGAGCACAACCAGTCTCCTTTCCCCAACCAGTTAATGAGCAGGGCAAGTTTACGTCTCAACATGGGAAGGCACCTCTTTCACATTGTATGGTTTGGAAGGGATGCCAAAAGCAAACTAAGCGTTTTGGGTCTCCTTTGAGAGACACCCACATGCTCCTGAGAGAGCAAAAACAGGTGCCGGGCTGGCCGGAGATGAAGGGCTTCCCCTTCTCCGCTGGTGCCAAAGTGGACGGCATCGCCTTCATCAGCGGCAACCAAGGCTGGAAGATGTGCCGTTGGTCTATGTATGATTCTTTAAATTCTTTTTGCAAGTGCTCTATTGTACGCATGTTCTACCAACTAGGCCGCTCTTACCCTTGGTATTGCCTTAAACACAGCCTTCGGCAGAGATAGACGTCAGCGTTTTGCCAGATACTTCCGTGGTCATTGGTCACTGACTGGATGTTCATGTTCGTGGTACTGACCGTGTTGTTGCTGGCGAGTGACTGAACATGTTTTGCTCCTGTGGTTGTGCAAGAATAAAAGGGCGACCGCGCCGCCTGTTGTCCAAGACCACTTGGTTCCACGCGCATGGCTGACCCCGCAACCTGCAAGTCGGGGAGGCCCCGCCGTTGCCCAGCACCATGGCAGGTGTCGACATGAAGACCTCAAAGCTGGTGCAGGGAGGTGCTGGGCCAGAGACAACGCAGACCTTGAAGGACCCGTTTTGTGCTGTGCTTTGTTTTAAGGAACCCCCGAATGTTCTCAGCCAGTCTGAGTTAATAGCCCGGTATCGTGAGCGGCTTGTGGCGATTGCGTGTGTGCGCGCTTGAAGGTGACACCTGCCACTTTTCCTAGGTTCCTCACTGGTTATGCCATGGTGCCCTTGGGCCTTTGCTAACTTTGCATTCAAGGCACCATGCTGCGGATGGTTGTGAGAGCATTGAATGAGGCCTCGACTTCCTGCGTTCGGCTGTCACTCTACCAGTCACGAGCCAGACCCTGTGTCCAGGACATACAAGAGGCGGTGAAAGCCTCCGGCACAGGCGGGCCTCAATGTCGCCGGCAGATGCCTGAATTACTCTTCAAAGGAAGCGAGTGGATTGCCGCGAGGGAGGTGTTTAGCATTGGGAGGTAGAAAGGTTTTCAGGTGGCCATGGACATGGTCAAGTTGTCAAGGACATGTTTAAGCGTCCTCATGGAATGTTTACCATAGCGCTGTTGACTGAGATCCGCTGTTGAATCTCAGCCGCTGTCAAGTGCACCCCACAAACTCGTTGCGTTGCCGAATGGCGAGCACGACGGGGGGCTACGGTGCAGATGGCCCTGGCCCGAAGTTTGTGAAGTTGAGTGGCGAAGAGATCCCGTACAAAGCGCCAGCCAACAGCAGGGTGCGAGCTGTGACCCAAGCTCTGACGAAGTTCTTCCCGGGCGGCTCGGTGCGTTTGATCGATGAGTCCGGAAGAGCCCTTTGCAGGGATGACCCCATTCCTTCGGCCGGAACTCTCCAGGTTCAGGTCATGGGAATTGCTGCTGGCCAATGGTCCAGCTTGTACTTTGCCGCCCTGGATGGCTTCGATGAGGACGCCTTGCGGCGTGAATTGCAAGCTGCCTGGCCTGGTGACTACGACGGCCCAGAGGCCACAGATGAGCAGATGGATGGGTGGCAGAACAGTACCTTCGAGGCTTTGCAACCGGCGGTCCTGAAGTGTCGCTTTCTCCAAAGCCGACCTTTTCACCCTTCGGGTTTCTTTCGGTTTTATTTCTTGTTTGGTCAAGGTTCCAAAAAGTGATCACCTTTTATTTCCGGGCGAGTGAGGTTGTGGTGAGTGGGCTGACTATTGGACCTTTGGCTCTGCCGCCTGCTCCTATGGCTATTGGTACGTTCGGCCGCCCTACAACGACATGAAGCCCAGTGTGGAGTTGATCATCACCGATCTGAAGAGGTGGCAGAAGATTCTGGTGGATTTGGAAGATGAGTTTGCTCAGCTACGTTCCAGATGTTCTACCTATGAACTTTCTGAGCACTTGGAGACGGCGATTGCTCAACTCCTTCGTCACTGTCCGTCCTTTGCAACCGACGTTCCGTGGCACGTGGGGTTTGAGATGTGGTACGAACCTTTCGCAGATCTGGTCGGCTGGTACTTGAGCTCCACCGGGCTCGAAGAGACACACCTGAAGCTCCTGGAGACCGTGACCAATGCGATCAGGGGCTTTCAAAGTTACCATTGTCCACCGGATACAGCCCTAGCGGTGGTGCGAAAGGTCGCTCCGGCATACAACAGCAAGTTCGAGCAGGTGGATTCCACCAGCGATTGGCTCGGATCACGCGCAGCCATGGTTGCATCGACTGCACCTCCAGTTGTGGGCACAGCAAACGAGGACAGCCACCTGCGCTTTATCGATTCTGTGGATGCTGCCAGGGACAGCAAACGAGCCGCCGATCTTCGCTATGCACTGGACGACTGCCGAAAGACAGCGCAGACAGGTGTTCCATTGGACTTTTCGCACCTGACCCGGTGGCAAAGCTTTTTGTTGGGAGAATCGAAGCAAACCTATAACTGGTCCTTCCGCCAGCATGACGCCTATGCCAAGCAGGGGCGAGAACGCTATCCTTTCGATGAGAATACCGAGTCAAAGTTTCGAGAACGTTTGGCGGAGGCCAATAGCGATGAGCCCTTGGCTCTCAGAGCTTGTCGCGCCTATCTGGATGTGTGTTTCTTCCATCCTTTTGAAGATTGCAACAGCCGCATGGCGCGCCTGGTCTTTGACTTCCTCCTCACCCAGGCAGGATACGCTCTCAGCACCAGCGAGCCAATCTTCATGTTCGCCAAATCCGCCCGGGACGCCGAGGGTGCCAAGGCGATGGTGCAGCTGGTGGAGTCCCTGCTAACTAAGCCCGGAACCGATTGGGGCAAGCCACTGGCGAGCTGGGTCCAGAAGAACCCACCCAAGTTCAGCCAGAAGGTCCGGTGGTTTAGCTGCTCCCAATGGCCTGAGGACAATCAGGACTTTCTGCACTAAGCCGAAAGTGTGGCGAGCTTGGCTTTGGCCTAGTTTTGGTTACTTACCGGAATGTTCCAATCGATTCTTACCTCGAGCAAGCTAGAAAAAACCGATGCTTGCGCCTTTCACTTGCAGATGGCTACCATGGCATCAGGTGCGCAAGCTTCCGTTCGGTACTTGAACTGCACATCCCCTTTCGGAAAGCAAATCATCCAGCAGAGATGCGCCTACAGGTGAGTGAGTGCTTTCAGTGTTGCTGCGCCTGGCGCAATGTCTAGTCGGGAAGGGGGAGACCGCGAAAGAATTAAAGCGTCATTCCATGCGCATCGGAAACCAACATTATATATATATATATAGATATGATCTATTCCGCCATCCATATGTTGTTTTGTCGGCATCCAGGCCTGCAGGAGGTGGTGGCGTGTGAGGTCTCGCTGAGGGACATGAAAGACTTCGCAGCCGTGAACAAGGTTGGTGCGTTGGGAAAGGGGTTGGTGCTTTGGCGTGTATCTAGAAAGTAGAGCGTAGAAGCTTCGTCAAAGAGCAACGGTCTGAGAGGAATGGTTTTGAGCACGAGTTGATACAGAATCCCAACGATCAAGCATTGATTCCCCTACAATTGAAGATGGGGACTACTGAAGGGCAATCTCTAGAGCAGACTGTGGTGGTGTCGTGCAGCTCTGGAAAAGTCGTTTGTTGCAAGCCCAGGCAGATGTGTCGTGCCGTGCCGTGTCGCTTGCAGATCTGCGCGCTTGCGCGAGCGTGAGGCCTACAGCAGCTTTTGGCCCCACGAGCCTCCGAGCAGAGTGGCTGTGCAGGTCGGCGCGCTGGCCACTGGGCTTAACTCTTAGGGGTGGAAGCCGTTCATGGGACCGTCTCCAAATTGGAGGCTTCCGCCATTTCAAGGCTACGGGTTGGCAACGGGTAGCCTGAAAGGCTCGACCACTTGGGCCTAATAGGTGTTTGGTAAAGGTGATTCGAATTCGGCCATCGTTCCTGACAAAAGATGGAAGCCGCGTGCTTTCCACCATCCTCCCTTGGAATAGTCTCAAGCAAGCCACAAAAGAATCACTGCTGGGATTTCCGTGTCTTCGCTCAAAGCTGGGGAGGGGGGGAACCTGGGAAACAGGAGCCTCATGGAGAGGAGAGACCGTCTCTTTTGTGAGGTTTCAGATTTCATTTCGGCGTTAAATGAACCTAACGCTGGGCTAAGGTGCTTAACTGCGCGCTCATCAAATACCACAAAGGGTGTCTCATTTGGTTCATTTTGACAGCAGGACGGTGGTCATGGAAGTCGAAACCTTCTAAGGAGTACCGAGTGGACTAGCCCCGAAAATGGATGGCGCTCAAGCGGGTGGTCGATGCCCAACCACTGAGCAAGCACTTCGTCAGTGAGTAGGAGGGCGTAGGGGTTGTGAAGCTGCTTTTGGCGCGAGCCTAAGTGAAACAGCTTCTGGCGCAGATGTTGGTGGTAGTAGCAAATATTCAAACGAGAAATGTGAAGGCTGAAGTGGATCCATGTGAACAGCACTTGGACATGGGTTAGTCGATCCTAAGATCATTGTCATAAACTAGGTTGAACACCTAAGAATGGTGCTCCTTCAAACTTTGGTTGTTTCCTTTGAAAGAACGGTTATGACCATCGGTGAGTCCCCACCTAGGTCCTCCAGTAGTGCCCTTGTACCTTGTCTTTTTTGGGGGGTTCCCCTACTAAAATAGACTATAGACAAACGATGAATCGGGCACCAACTTCTAACCTCTCAAATCCGGAGGACCTAGCCACTTCCCTGACGTCCCCAGTGGCCCTTAGCTCTCGCCTTGAGGCCCGCGGCGCCGCGGTGGAGATCCGATGCCTCGCCGCCCTCTCCGCCGCGATGGGTGGGATGGAGATCACCGTGTGAGGGGGCGATAGCCTCTGACCGGGGCCGAATGGCTATTGTTAAAACCGTTTTGGGAGCCCATTTTGGTAGGTGAATTAATTCACCACCCATTTTAGAGCCCATTTTAGTCGTTGGATTGGTTGATGTTCACTGCAAGTACTGGATTTTGACCCATGGCCAAATGGGTGTGTCAAAAGGAGAAGAAACATAGGGGAAGAACATGTCCTAAAGGTCGAGAAAAGAGGCCCAGGGACTTGGAGTACACCCGAATAGCTGTGCCAGCAGGGGACCGTGTTCTCCCCGGCAGTTTTCCTTGCATTGTTTGGTCAGTGGCGAGCGACGAAGAAGCAAATAGCTTCGAAGATGCACCGGGTATGGACGAGAAGACCAGCCGAAGCGCCCGTACCAGACCCTTCCAGCAGTACCCTTTCTTCAACTCCTGATGGTTGTTGGATCAGCTTAACAACTCACAACCACCCAAAAGCAGGATCGCCCAAGCTGGAGCTGTGGGGTTCTGTATTCTGCAACTGCAACGGTGCCAATGCAGACAGATGGAAATGAGCCAATACATTCGCGACGGCGAACGCTCTGTCGGACTATAGGCGACCATGGGGCAGATCCTCTTCACACGTGTTATATCAGATCAAGTATAAGACAGGTATGATCATGCCGGACTGGGAGTCCGTTGGTTTCGCTTTGATTTCCGTTTAAAAGCCAACGAACCGGGGAGGGGGGGGGTGCTTGATTCTAATTCTGATGCATTGCCACCTTGGCTCATCACTTTGAAAGGGGCCTGCTGATTTTCCAAATCTGGCACGGCGCTTGGGTGGCAGCCAAGGCCTAGACCGTGGCATACTTGGCAGTTTTCAACAGCGCTAGAAGCATTCGATATGTGTGTGTGTGCGTCAGTGTGTCTGTGTGTCTGTGTGAGTGTGTTGAAGCACTGGCATGAGCAAAGTTTCAAAGGGTTGAAGAAGACATAGGCATGCCACGCTAATCTGTTGCTGGTACCTGGAGGTTATCCATACCATCCCAGTGGGCAGATCGCTTCTGTTTGGTGGAGTGCAAACCGAAAGCGCTCCGGAAGGCGGTCTCGGCCAATCCAGCACATTCCAGTGCCTCATGTTTGTCCAATATGGTCCGTACATTGGCCGCCGCACATCTGATCTTGGCTCCAGCTTGATCCTTCTCTTTCTTTTGACAGCGCTCAGAAGCCATGGCTAGTTGGCTTCTGCGAGGCGTGCGGTCTGAGTGCAGATGAATCGCGAAGCAGTTGTTGTAGTCAGCTTGAGTGGACACATGGCAATGTCAACGTCTAGATAGAAGCGAACAGGCTTGGCAAAGAAAAGGCATTCCTAAGTTCAGGATAGCATACTTTGGCACCTGAAGGCTTGAGGTTAGAACTGCAAGATCTGCAAGCCAAATGCAGTCGGGTGACTTTTCGTGGATTGCTGGATGGCATGCCGCCGTGTGCCAGAGTGACAAAGTGCCAAAGTGCCAAAGTTGTGAGCAGAACGTATTGGCCTGAAGATTTGATTGTATGATAAAACTCTCTCAAAACGCTCTGGGCCAAGCGACCAGTTGTCCACCACGTGCAGTAGTTCCTTGTTTCTTAGCCTTTGCCACCCTTCGCGGAGATGGTGTGTGCTCAGGAGACGCCAGCCAGAGAGAAGCAACACGCTGCTCATTGACTGAGATTTAATGAGCAGGTCTAGCCATTGTGGAAAACAAAGCAAGCCCCTTGCTTCTTTGAAGCCGAGCATTATGCCCTGGTGCATCCTGGTGCATTTGCAATCCCTTCGGTTTAATCTGTTTCCTCTCTCACAAGGGCAGCAATTCATCAGACAGCTTTGCCGTATACGTGTTGGTTTTGAGAAGCCCAAACACGTGCAGGGCCATTTGAAAGTTCACCATACCAAAATCAAGAGGGCCACATTTCGAGGGCATTTTAAGGTAAGGGTTTTGGATGCTTATGTACCACCAATAAAAGCTGGTAAGGCAGTATACACCCCATATTAGTATATAACCTCCATACCTCCCAAACCCATACCTCACAATGCCCTTGACCACTATGACCTGTCACCTGTAACCTGGATCTGTTTTTTGCTCGCAACCCGTGCGAGTTTCGGGTATGTGCCCTCGAATCAGATGTCAACACTCTAGATCGAAATCCAAAAAGCAAACAACAGCAAAGCCCGAAATCAGACCCTAAATCAAAGCCTCAACAAAACCCGGTTCCCTTTTAACGCCATGCGGCGGGAATTATTCGACTAGGCTTCGTGGCCTCCTCCGCGGTGCGATCTTTCTGCCGGGGAGCCCAGTCGCGCCGGGGTTTCCGTTGGTCCGCACCCCGCACCCCCCCCCACCCCACCCCACCCTCTTGACCCCAATTTTCGTTGCTTGTGATTTCAGGTGATTATATATTGTATAGTCTGTGTTTCGGACCCCCCCCACCAAAAAAAGATGGTTGTTCTCCTATTGGTTTCCCTTTCAAACCACAAGAAAGGGGGTGCAAAAAAGACAGGCCCATATGAAACGGGTGACCGATGAGCGTCTCATGAGACAGCCAAGTTCACCCGTCAAAAATGGGGGGAGGGGGGGGCGGCCTTCCTCAATCTGTTGGATGGGAGGAAAGGGGACGGCGATAGGGGCTCCCAGCGCCCGACAGCCGATTTGAAAGCACCCGAGTCTTAGGCCCTCTTAGGGACGAGAAAGACGTCTCTTTGCAAGGCGCAGATGATGCCAAGCTTTTGGCAGAGGACAGCGAGTGCACAGCAGAGGAGTGTGCTTTGTGCCATGGTGGCAAGAGCAGTCTGGTGGCCGGCTCGCTCGCTTTCTTGCGTGGTAGGGAGAGAATGCCTCCCGGTTTCACAGGGGCCCAGGTTTCTTTTTTTAATCATCAGCCTTGATTGTACTCCTTGTGGTAGCCATTGAATTTACCCCGGCGACCGTGATGCGTCGGATATGGTCCGCGAGCACACTATGATTTCCAGAAGCTCGAGGTTGAAGAATTCTGATTCCGGGATGAATTTGCTTGCGTCCTGAGGGGCATTGTACTTAGTAAGTGGGTGGTTATAACCTGCTTGCTATGGTTATAAGTCTCCGTTCATTGGGTTATAGCCAGGTTTGGTCTTGGCGGTGCACCTGCCATGCGAATCGCGAGCCACCGCCCGGACCGAGGAACGCGCTGCAGCGCCACGCCAAAGCCAAGGCCACTCCCATGGCAGCAGACGCCTGGACGCAGTGCGGCGGCGCTTCCTGGAAGGCGACGTCCCAATGGTTGCCCCCCCTTGGGAAGCTACGAGTTGCAACCAGAATCGGAGCCTTTGGCACCCAAACGCCTCGTCCTATCTCCGACAAGAGTCGAAGCCAGCCAGATCGAAAATGACCCATGAAACCCAGCCCTTGCTCCCTGAAGGGCCCCACCGCGTGCACAGCCGGCCTCTCGGCTGCACAGAGGCTTTGCTCATATCTCCTGTCAAGACCGTGCAATGTTGATCTAGTCACACCGTGTTCTCCCTGCTCAGTCACAGCTTTGGGCTTTGGTGCGGATTGCAAGGCTTTTTGCAAGGCCAACTCGGGCGTAAGATATGCTCTTGAAGGGCACGCGCACACCCACACCCAAACACACACACACACAGACACAGACACCGACAGAGACACAGACACAGACACAGACACAGGCACAGGCACAGGCACAGGCACTGGCACAGGCACAGGCACAGGCACAGGCACAGGCACAGGCACATGCACAGGCACAGGCACAGGCACAGGCACAGGCACAGGCACATGCGCATGCGCATGCACATGCACATGCATATGCACAACCAGACATACGCACGCAGACAGACACACACACACAAAACAAAACCTAGTAGAGGACTAGTATTGCAGCGACCCAGGTTTTTGACACACGCAGCGAAATGAGGCCGCCCCGCCTCTGAATCAACTTGATAGCGTGGAGCCCGCCAATAGCAAAATAAGTGGGAACGACATCTGAAACGACATCCGAAACGACATCCCAGCGGCAGTAATCCCTTCTTCATACTTTGCGTACAACGCATGTCCTGACAAGTTGCGACTTTCCAGCCGGGGCTGCCGGAGCACACTTCGCGTACTACGCTTGTACTTAAAAGTTGCGACTTCCAGCCGGGGCTGCCGGAGCACACTTCGCGTACTACGCTTGTACCTAGTGCGACTAAACCCTGAGAAAACAAAAGCAGGGTGTAAGCTGAAAACCCGATTTTTCGCTTGGTTGCAAAGAATAAAACGGTTGTAAAGAATGCACCCCGTATTTAAGCCGTACAAACCCCATATTTAGCCCGTACTAACCCCGTATTTTTTGTACTGCTTATAGAAACCAGGTTTTCAAAGTTAAACCCCGGTAATTTTGCACACCCTGCCTTTTTTCAGGGTTTGGGTGCTCTATAGGTACTGAAAAGTTGCGACTTTCCAGCCGGAGCTGCAAGAGCACACTTCGCGTACTACGCTTGTACTGAAAAGTTGCGACTTTCCAGCCGGAGCTGCCGGAGCACACTTCGCGTACTATGCTTGTACTTAAAAGTTGCGACTTTCCAGCCGGAGCTGCCGGAGCACACTTCGCGTACTACGCTTGTACTGAAAAGTTGCGACTTTCTAGCCGGAGCGCACTTCGCGTACTACGCTTGTACTGAACAGTTGCGACTTTCCAGCCGGAGTTTGATGGCCGCGTTGCCTGCGCACGCTTGGCCGTGCATGTTTGACATGTTTTTTGCCTTGCAAGATGCCGTTGTCTGTACATCCTGCAGTTTTTTCCCACGGTTCATGCCGAGCCAGAACGACATCAGAACGACATCCACTTGTTTGTCCCAACAAGCAAATGCAGGCAGTTCCCCAAGGTTTTTTTCCTGTACTGCACTTGTACTTAAAAGTTGCGACTTTCAGCCGGAGCTGCCAAAGTGTACTTCCTTTACTACACTTGCGCTGAAAAGTTGCGACTTTCGAGCCGGAGCTGCCGAAGTTAATTTTCCTTTTCTACACTTGTACGGAAAAGTTGCGACTTTCGAGACAGAGCTGCCAAAGTGTGTTTCCTTTATCATATACACTTGTACTGAAAAGTTGTGACTGTCGAGCCGATGCTGCCAAAGTGCTGTATTTCCTTTCCTATACACACTCTTACTTGAAAGTTGCGACTTCCGAGCCGGAGCTGCCAAAGTGTATTTCCTTTACTACACTTGTACTGAAAAGTTGCGACTTTCGAGCCGGAGCTGCCGAAGTGTACTTCCTTTACTACACTTGTACTGAACAGTTGCGACTTGCGAGCCGGAGCTGCCGAAGTGTATCTCCTTTACTACACTGGTGCTGATAAGTTGCGACTTTCGAGCCGGAGATGCCAAAGTGCGTTTCCTTCACTACACGTGTGCTGAACAGTTCGGAGCTGCCAGAGTGCATTTCCTTTACTACACTCGTATTGAAAAGTTGTGACTTTCCAGCCAGAGCTGTGTTTCTTTTACTACACTTGTACTGAAAAGTTGCGACTTTCGAGCCGGAGCTGCCAGAGTGCATTCACTTGTACTGAAAAGTTGCGACTTTCGAGCCGGAGCTGCCAGAGTGCATTTCCTTTACTTCACTTGTACTGAAAAGTTGCGACTTTCGAGCCGGACCTGCCCAAGTGTATCTCCTTTACTACACTTATACTGAAAAGTTGCGACTTTCAAGCCGGAGTTGCCAATGTTTACTTGCGATAGTTGTTGTTGCAAGCGCTGTTTCTTACAAGGATGTCAACAAAATGAGGCCGCCCCGCATGAGACTGACCACATCATATCGCGGGTATACGGAAAATTAGGGAGGTTTCCAACAGAGCTCATGTGTGGTCAAAGCACATGTTTATTTGTGTGTTGGTAGGGATGAGAATCGACCCCCTGCTGGGGAGCCTAGATAACTGTTGAAAAGGTTCCTGTTGAAGAAGTCATCACCATGGCACATGTGTTTTTGTTGCTTTAAACCTTGAGTTCGCTTCATTGCCGCGGTGTTTATGCAGCATTCAAGCATCGAAGTCGTATGCGATCAACATTCACAATGCCTGCCAAGTGCAGTTTGGAGCTTGAAAGTCAAAGTGCAGTTGCATGTGGCCTGTTCAGGGGGTTTGAGAATGCATGCGTTCTCATGCATGACACACGTGGAGTGCTGCCCCAAGGTGGCCAAAGTAGGATGCTGTAAAGGAGCCACTGTAGGCCTCTTTAGTTGATCCCTGGCACCACAGGCAACCATTGCCCCTCAACCGAAGATCATGATTCAACCAATGGCGTCATAACTTCTTCCAGGGTTTTTCTCGGAGCAAATCCATAGAGTCGCACGTGGCAGGATGCCTAAGCTCGTGCTGTTCCCACCCGCAAATTCTTTATGGGAGGCCTACCAGGCCTTCTGGCCAAAGTCCCCGGAGCTGGGGGGCTTGCCCTCTCGGGCCTGGACCCCAGTGAAGCTCCACCTTTTTAAACCTTTGTGGTTTTAAAAGGAATTTATCACAGCTGGAAATATTGCACTTTTTCCACGGGGCTCAAGTCAGAATCATGACTGAATTTGGATTTAAATTAGCCATTTTTCGGAGTAAATGCAGCATGAGAGAATAGCAGGGTTCCGTCTTACGAAGTGTGGCGTACAGCAAAGTGGCGCTCTAAAGATCTACATCACACGTTGACACAAGTGCAAGCAACAAAGGTCAGAACGCGTCCTGGAAATCTGAAAATGTGCCTGCTGCATTTCCACGCCTTGCGGGTAGGGCCCAAGGGGGCCTTCGGAAGCGATGTGCGCGAAGCTGCAACGCTCACTTGAGCATATTTCACTGCCAGCTCCTGGCACCTCACGTGCGCGCCCAACCCTGCAGCAAGTTTGATCCTTCTGTGTTAACAGCCATGTTGTCCACCGGTTTGGGCTGTTCCATAGATGATTCGCCACTGGCGCAAGCCTTTCATGGAGATGCGCATGCTGGCTTGCATTTGAAGTTGCTACGAGGACCACCACCATTGCAAGCTATCCATAGAGAGATGCCTGGCTGATTGTTGTTTCAATGCCTGGCATCATTGGAAGCCACCGAGGTTTGCGTGGAGGTGTCAGCACTAGCTGGTACCGGCAAGGCAAGGGCCATATAGCACAGCCGTGCCGCACTGTTACACTGTTGGGCTTGCCCCCCCAGACTATGTACTGACAAAAGGCGCTATTGATCGGTTTCCCTTGAAATCATTTGGATTTGCCAACTGCAATCTGATTCCAGCTCATTGCAGTTGCTTGTCCTTCTGCGGCCAGCCCATGCCTCCTTTCCTGTGGGCCAATATTTTGAAGCTGCAGGTCGAGATACAGTGCACTGCCGCAGGCAGGGTGGACAATTGGGCGGCGCTGAGGAATGCCAGATCCGAGAGATACATCGATATTGATTTTGATCCGTCGCCGCCTGCACTGATATAGAAACACACACATGGTTCTTGCCGTGAATTTCCGAGTGGCACACATTTTTGTACACTCACCAGTCAGTGGCCACAGACATAAGAATCGGACTCCTTTCTTGGTTGCTTGTCCAGCTCTGCAGTTCAATCCTGCCCACAGGTGAATGCCCCTATATAACGTTGAGACACTCAGGATGGGACGCCTGTGTCAGGCACCGACGTGCCCCACGGGGAAGTGCCCTGCGTTGTGAAGGCAGGGAGAAAGCGGAGGGTCGATGACTGCAGGAGATCATGCAACGCAAGTTGCGCTTTGGCTAGCACGCCCTAAGCCTTTGATCGATCTTGCAGACACGGGCAAATCCAGCACCCCTTGTCTTGGCTACGGGTTGGAACGCAGCCACGGGTAGCTCATGTGCGTTCCACCTTGCCCTTTTAGATTTCTTGTTTCAGGATGTGATATATCATTCATACGTGTCGGTTGTTGACTAAGGTCCATGGGCAAAGTATAGCGACCTGGAAAACCCCCATTTCACTCGCGTTTTTTCTTCAAGCACAGTTGTCTGAAGTGGGGTACAGGAGCCCTGACCTTCTTATGAAGCAATGCAGAAAGGAGCACAACCAGTCTCCTTTCCCCAACCAGTTAATGAGCAGGGCAAGTTTACGTCTCCACATGGGAAGGCACCTCTTTGTATGGCACATTGTATGGTTTGGAAGGGATGCCAAAAGGAAGCTAAGCGTTTTGGCAAAACAAGGTGCCGGGCTGGCCGGAGATGAAGGGCTACCCCTTCTCCGCTGGTGCCAAAGTGGACGGCATCGCCTTCATCAGCGGCAACCAAGGCTGGAAGATGTGCCGTTGGTCTATGCATGTTTCTTTTCGCAAGTGCTCTATTGTACGCATGTTCTACCAACTAGGCCGCTCTTACCCTTGATATTGCCTTAAACACAGCCTTCGGCAGAGATAGCCGTCAGCGTTTTGCCAGATACTTCCGTGGTCATTGGTCACTGACTAGATGTTCATGTTCGTGGTACTGACCGTGTTGTTGCTGGCGAGTGACTGAACATGTTTTGCTCCTGTGGTTGTGCAAGAATAGAAGGGCGACCGCGCGGCCTGTTGTCCAAGACCACTTGGTTCCACGCGCATGGCTGACCCCGCAACCTGCAAGTCGGGGAGGCCCCGCCGTTGCCCAGCACCATAGCAGGTGTCGACATGAAGACCTCAAAGCTGGTGCAGGGAGGTGCCGGGCCCGTTTTGTGCTGTGCTTTGTGTTAAGAAACCCCCAAATGTTCTCAGCCAGTCTGAGTTAATAGCCCGGTATCGTGAGCGGCTTGTGGCGATTGCGTGTGTGCGCGCTTGAAGGTGACACCTGCCACTTTTCCTAGGTTCCTCACTGGTTATGCCATGGTGCCCTTGGGCCTTTGCTAACTTTGCATTCAAGGCACCATGCTGCGGATGGTTGTGAGAGCATTGAATGAGGCCTCGACTTCCTGCGTTCGGCTGTCACTCTACCAGTCACGAGCCAGACCCTGTGTCCAGGACAAGAGGCGGTGAAAGCCTCCGGCACAGGCGGGCCTCAATGTCGCCGGCAGATGCCTGAATTACTCTTCAAAGGAAGCGAGTGGATTGCCGCGAGGGAGGTGTTTAGCCTTGGGAGGTAGAAAGGTTTTCAGGTGGCCATGGACATGGTCAAGTTGTCAAGGACATGTTTAAGCGTCCTCATGGAATGTTTACCATAGCGCTGTTGACTGAGATCCGCTGTTGAATCTCAGCCGCTGTCAAGTGCACCCCACAAACCCGTTGCGTTGCCGAATGGCGAGCACGACGGGGGGCTACGGTGCAGATGGCCCTGGCCCGAAGTTTGTGAAGTTGAGTGGCGAAGAGATCCCGTACAAAGCGCCAGCCAACAGCAGGGTGCGAGCTGTGACCCAAGCTCTGACGAAGTTCTTCCCGGGCGGCTCGGTGCGTTTGATCGATGAGTCCGGAAGAGTCCTTTGCAGGGATGACCCCATTCCTTCGGCCGGAACTCTCCAGGTTCAGGTCATGGGAATTGCTGCTGGCCAATGGTCCAGCTTGTACTTTGCCGCCCTGGATGGCTTCGATGAGGACGCCTTGCGGCGTGAATTGCAAGCTGCCTGGCCTGGTGACTACGACGGCCCAGAGGCCACAGATGATCAGATGGATGGGTGGCAGAACAGTACCTTCGAGGCTTTGCAACCGGCGGTCCTGAAGTGTCGCTTTCTCCAAAGCCGACCTTTTCACCCTTCGGGTTTCTTTCGGTTTTATTTTTTGTTTGGTCAAGGTTCCAAAAAGTGATCACCTTTTATTTCCGGGCGAGTGAGGTTGTGGTGAGTGGGCTGACTATTGGACCTTTGGCTCTGCCGCCTGCTCCTATGGCTATTGGTACGTTCGGCCGCCCTACAACGACATGAAGCCCAGTGTGGAGTTGATCATCACCGATCTGAAGAGGTGGCAGAAGATTCTGGTGGATTTGGAAGATGAGTTTGCTCAGCTACGTTCCAGATGTTCTGCCTATGAACTTTCTGAGCACCTGGAGACGGCGATTGCTCAACTCCTTCGTCACTGTCCGGCCTTTGCAACCGACGTTCCGTGGCACGTGGGGTTTGAGATGTGGTACCAACCTTTCGCAGATCTGGTCGGCTGGTACTTGAGCTCCACCGGGCTCGAAGAGACACACCTGAAGCTCCTGGAGACCGTGACCAATGCGATCAGGGGCTTTCAAAGTTACTCTTGTCCACCGGATACAGCCCTAGCGGTGGTGCGAAAGGTCGCTCCGGCATACAACAGCAAGTTCGAGCAGGTGGATTCCACCAGCGATTGGCTCGGATCACGCGCAGCCATGGTTGCATCGACTGCACCTCCTGTTGAGGGCACCGCAAACGAGGACAGCCACCTGCGCTTTATCGATTCTGTGGATGCTGCCAGGGACAGCAAACGAGCCGCCGATCTTCGCTATGCGCTGGACGACTGCCGAAAGACAGCGCTGACAGGTGTTCCATTGGACTTGTCGCACCTGACCCGGTGGCAAAGCTTTTTGTTGGGAGAATCGAGGACCTCTGACTTGTCCTTCCGCCAGCATGACGCCTATGCCAAGCAGGGCCGAGAACGCTATCCTTTCGATGAGAATACCGAGTCAAAGTTTCGAGAACGTCTGGCGGAGGCCAACAGCGATGAGCCCTTGGCTCTCAGAGCTTGTCGCGCCTATCTGGATGTGTGTTTCTTCCATCCTTTTGAAGATTGCAACAGCCGCATGGCGCGCCTGGTCTTTGACTTCCTCCTCACCCAGGCAGGATACGCTCTCAGCACCAGCGAGCCAATCTTCATGTTCGCCAGATCCGCCCGGGACGCCGAGGGTGCCAAAGCGATGGTGCAGCTAGTGGAGTCCCTGCTAACTAAGCCCGGAACCGATTGGGGCAAGCCACTGGCGAGCTGGGTCCAGAAGAACCCTCCCAAGGTCAGCCAGAAGCTCCGCTGGTTTAGCTGCTTCCGATGGCCTGAGGACAATCAGGACTTTCTGCACTAAGCCAAAAGTGTGGCGAGCTTGGCTTTGGCCTAGTTTTGGTTGGTGTACCAGAATGTTCTAATCGATTCTTACCTCGAGCAAGCTAGAAAAAACCGATGCTTGCGCCTTTCACTTGCAGATGGCTACCATGGCATCAGGCGCGCAAGCTTCCGTTCGGTACTTGAACTGCTCATCCCCTTTCGGAAAGCAAATCATCCAGCAGAGATGCGCCTACAGGTGAGTGAGTGCTTTCAGTGTTGCTGCGCCTGGCGCAATGTCTAGTTGGGAAGGGGGAGACCGCGAAAGAATTAAAGCGTCATTCCATGCGCATCGGAAACCAACATTATATATATACACATATATATATATATATGATTATATGATCTATTCCGCCATCCATATGTTGTTTTGTCGGCATCCAGGCCTGCAGGAGGTGGTGGCGTGTGAGGTCTCGCTGAGGGACATGAAAGACTTCGCAGCCGTGAACAAGGTTGGTGCGTTGGGAAAGGGGTTGGTGCTTTGGCGTGTATCCAGAAAGTAGAGCGTAGAAGTTTCGTCAAAGAGCAACGGTCTGAGAGGAAAGGTTTTGAGCACGAGTTGATACAGAATCCCAACGATCAAGCATTGATTCCCCTACAATTGATGATGGGGACTACTGAAGGGCAATCTCTAGAGCGGACTGTGGTGGTGTCGTGCAGCTCTGGAGAAGTCGTTTGTTGCAAGCCCAGGCAGATGTGTCGTGCCGTGCCGTGTCGCTTGCAGATCTGCGCGCTTGCGCGAACGTGAGGCCTACAGCAGCTCGGCGCACTGGCCACTGGGCTTAACTCTTAGGGGTGGAAGCCGTTCATGGGACCGTCTCCAAATTGGAGGCTTCCGCCATTTCAAGGCTACGGGTTGGCAACGGGTAGCCTGAAAGGCTCGACCACTTGGGCCTAATAGGTGTTTGGTAAAGGTGATTCGAATGCGGCCATCGTTCCTGACAAAAGATGGAAGCCGCGTGCTTTCCACCAGTCTCAAGCAAGCCACAAAAGAATCACTGGGATTTCCGTTTCGCTCAAAACTGGGGAGGGGGGGAGCCTGGGAAACAGGAGCCTCAAGGAGAGGAGAGACCGTCTCTTTTGTGACGTTTCAGATTTCATTTCGGCGTTAGATGAACCTAATGCTGGGCTAAGGTGCTTAACTGCACGCTCATCAAATACCACAAAGGGTGTTGGTTCATTTTGACAGCAGGACGGTGGTCATGGAAGTCAAAACCTTCTAAGGAGTGTGTGTCACCTACCGAGTGGACTAGCCCCGAAAATGGATGGCGCTCAAGCGGGTGACCGATGCCCAACCACTGAGCAAGCACTTCGTCAGTGAGTAGGAGCGCGTAGGGGGTGTGAAGCTGCTTTTGGCGCGAGCCTAAGTGAAACAGCTTCTGGCGCAGATCTTGGTGGTAGTAGCAAATATTCAAACGAGAAATGTGAAGGCTGAAGTGGATCCATGTGAACAGCACTTGGACATGAACACCTAAGAACGGTCCTCCTTCAAACTTTGGTTGTTTCCTTTGAAAGAACGGTTATGACCATCGGTGAGTCCCCACCTAGGTCCTCCAGTAGTGCCCTTGTACCTTGTCTTTTTTGGGGGAGGGTTCCCCTACTAAAATAGACTATAGACAAACTATGAATCGGGTACCAACTTCTAACCTCTCAAATCCGGAGGACCTAGCCACTTCCCTGACGTCCCCAGTGGCCCTTAGCTCTCGCCTTGAGGCCCGCGGCGCCGCGGTGGAGATCCGATGCCTCGCCGCCCTCTCCGCCGCGATGGGTGGGATGGAGATCACCGTGTGAGGGGGCGATAGCCTCTGACCGGGGCCGAATGGCTATTGTTAAAACCGTTTTGGGAGCCCATTTTGGTAGGTGAATTAATTCACCACCCATTTTAGAACCCATTTTGGTCGTTGGATTGGTTGATGTTCACTGCAAGTACTGGATTTTGACCCATGGCCAAATGGGTGTGTCAAAAGGAGAAGAAACATAGGGGAAGAACATGTCCTAAAGGTCGAGAAAAGAGGCCCAGGGACTTGGAGTACACCCGAATAGCTGTGCCAGCAGGGGACCGTGTTCTCCCCGGCAGTTTTCCTTGCATTGTTTGGTCAGTGGCGAGCGACGAAGAAACAA